GAAATCTTCCGGATTTATTGAACGGCGAAAGCAGTATAACCGGATGACTTTCTGTCCCGTTGGTAATTTTAATTGGTCTCGCGACATGCCGTGGTCTTTCATTATCCACGGCGTTTTCAAGGGAAATCAGGATAATCTTTCCGTCTGTATCAGGTAATATTAGCAGGATCGGGGATGTCGTCCAATGAATGTTCTGGTGTTTTCGCCATGTTTTCGGTGTTTTTCACCTTCCTCAGAATGGTTTTATTTCACCTTCAACGGATAAAACATATATTTTATAATTGCTCACCTGTGTAAGTGAAAATCAAAAATCAACTTGTTTTTACAACTTACAGATTCTCTGTCCTTATTTAAAATTGTTCTCTCTTATCAACATATATAAACATTTTTTCTCTCTTTTTATCATTTCTCATACTAAATACAATGTTTTTTTAATAAATAAATAAATGGTACTTTTTACGTAAACAAGGAGTTTAGCGTTTGGGACTTGTCATTAAAATCCTTATTTTAAATTTGTAATGAATAAATAATTAAAACTATAACCTATGATTTCTCTAATCTACTAAAACAATTATATTATTCCAGAACATTCATTGGACCACATCCCCGATCCTGCCAATATTATTGTTGAATAACAGCTGGACGATCACCTTTACGTCCGGATTATGTTAAAAAGAAAAAGCTTGCGTTTATTAATTGCTATAATCACCCCTTGTAATGAGTTGCTTGTAATCATTATCTGAGGAAGACCCTGGGTGTATTTTTTCTTCATCACAATTTACAGGTTATTTTTTTTAAACGAGGAAACAGCAGAGATGATATACACCATCAGGATGCCGGTGTTTTTGAAAAATTTGTACATTTGTAAATATGCCGTGTTCGAATGCAAGGCCGCTGGATTCGAACCCGGGACCTTCATCTTACAGCGATGAGCGCCGAGTCAACGCCTAAATCGTTGCGGCCACCGACGCCTCCCTTTCCAGGTATACTTTCTATTATCCGGACTGTAATGTACTCTCGTGTAAATAAAGTATTTATACAATAATATTTTTAAAAAATCAAAAAGCGAAATACGACTACTTCTTTTAAGCGTTGAAATCACTTCATTTCCTTTGCTTTGGAAGTAAGCCCAAACCATCATTTTTCCAAAATCCGGCAAACCCTCTCTAAGTTGCTTCCTACATCCAATCGGTCTAAATCCTCCCTTCAATCTTCTCCCAGATCCCCAATACGGCAGTCTGCATACAGCCAACATATCCTTATCACTTGACTGTAAACAATACCGTATGGCGTCCTTCCTTCCTACCTGATCAATCGGACTAATGCGAATATTGATCTCATAGAGAGAGATTGCCATAGGGCAGTGTGCTGCATCCAATACTACACTTCATTTATACCTAAGAAATTCTTTCAGAGAAGCTCAGACAAAGAGGCAAATGAACGCAGATTCTTCCTTTTAACTATTACTTTTCACAACTATACCGTCATACTTTTCAATACTAGTCTCATACTTAAAAACAACTGTGTACATTACCCTAAGTTCTATCTGAGCTCACGATTGGCATTGAAAAACTCTAACAAATGGACCGAAAAAAAATTTGGACATACGATAGAACTATGGCGCATTGCTAAAACTTCTAACATCGAAAAATACTATCCTTCCAGTATTCAGGATCATTGTCATAGTTCTCTTCTATAATAAACACCACCCTTAATAATGACCGCCAAATACCCTTCGTTAAAACCTAAACCCCTAAAAGGTAGATACGTTTCATGTCCTAAAAACCTACCCCGACACCCCAGACGACTGGACTACAGCATATTGGTGATTACCCTTAAAGCGTTTTAAAACTGCTTTTCCTTAAAAAAAAGGATTAAAATTTGTAAAAATAGATGATTTTCATATCAAAATTAAATTGATGACCCAGAAGTTACAGTTGTAAGACCTGTTCTCTTCCTCAATGGCTTATTTAAAATGCCACACCTTTGCCCTTCTTCCTTCCTTTACAGACGTCAAAACTGTTCTATCCTCTGACCCTGATCTGCTTTGAAAGAGCTCCAGATATTCTGCCAAACGATAACCCATGTTATTTTTACTTTCTAGAACAAAACCCATCATACAATCCTTCTTAATAGTACCTCCTACTCATGACACCGTCCATGTAAGCTAGCTTGGGTGTACCTAAACTCAAGTACAGCCTGGAACCAAAACACAAGAATAGACCGGAAAACCCAGATTTCTTGAAAAAGTGTTTAACCCTAATCCTTAAGGCAAAAGTAAAGATAATTATTTAGAAAAGCTTGTAGAGCAAAATGGTTACTGGCTCTCATGATACGCCAAATTTTTAATGAAGAAATATTTTATTTTATTTTTAAAAAATCATGAAATTTTAAACGCCCTTTTTCAACGACATACTCTTATAACGGATTGATATGTATTATCTTTTTTTCAAGAGATTATTTTAAATTGCAAATACAAGACAAAATATTTTGTAGATGAGAAAGAAAATTGGGCTTACCGGGCCCGAGGACACACTGGAATTATAATGAACGGAATGCACGCGAGGAGGGAAGCACAAGAAAGAAAAAACCTCCTGGGGCAAGAAGATTTATTACTTAAACGCTATAAACTGAAGGAAAAATCCAATATTTTATCCAGGAAAAAACTCCAGGACGAATAAAAGCCACATTCATGCAGGTTGCAACTTCAATGGCCGCTTGAAGAAGCTCGAAACCAAACGGTACAGGTGGATTCTGCAAAAAGACTGAAGAAAGTGTACAGACTGGTAGGCACAATTTCTTCTGGTTCGTGATTTATAGACCGTGGACGAAATCATGTCGCCCCAGCCGGAAAAAGTGTTCAAATTCATAAAAATAGTTCCGTCTCAGTGGCGTTCAATGAAAACAAAATCGGCGTGTAACATCGAGGACCAAGAAGATCATTCTGGTCTGTTTATGTTTCTCTCAAGAACCAGCGAGAACAGCAAGTTGTCAGAATTGTTCGGTTATTATTCTGATCAACTTAAGATAATTAAATTGTTGAAATGTAAATCCGCATTTTTAGGGATTGAAAATGATGTGCAATTATTTTTTTAATAAATTGTTTTGAAGGTCAAATAAGTAGTTAAATATTTTAATACAGATATAAGGAATCGTAGTTGGTTTGCTGAGGGCAATCAAAGTTATTGTACTTTTTTCTTCGATGAAGAGACCGACCCGAAGTTGCCGAATGGTAATTGCTTCCGCTCCTTACCAATGAATGGACCCTCTATTGTTCACTTTTTCAAAAACGGTTAGGACCTGTTGTATGTTTTTTCAAATAATTGGCCAATTTGATGCATTCGCCGTGTCATTTTGCTTTTCCGGTCGCTCTTTACCGCCATCCCCTTTTCTGTATTTTCAGAGTGTTTGGGGTTTTCGCCCATTAGGACAGATCGTTTGACCCCTGAGAAAATTTGCCAGTTTGTACCTGATTGGTAATTTTTCTCCCATTAGTTCCTTAGATAATTTCACTTCTGCAAAATTGACCCTTCGCCTGGACATTTCCACTCAGTCAAACCGTTAAAACAAACAGGCAACGTGCCGGCGTTGACTGATTATCCGGAAGGTCGAACTGTGAACAAACCCACTAAGAGTCGAGAACAAGCGGACCCAAGAGTAATTAGAAAGATTGCCGGCAAGCCTTCGCCTATTGAACGACTGCCTAAGCCACAATTTGACAACAGAGAAAACAGCCAATTACGACTTATTAAATCGAATAATAACGAAAATTTAGTCAAGAATTTTTTTGCTGTACTTTTGTTAATTATTGTCCTTATTCGCCCAGGACTTGATCAAGTCTACTGTAGTTCCTAAAAATCGCTCCTACAATATGAAAAGTAATTAATCTTTAAAATATATATTATAGCTTTATGAAGATTTAGATAGTAGATAGAAAACAATATTTTTATGCTTCAGATTTTTTTTAACCTATGAATGTTCTATAAAAGTTTTTGTTTATCTGAGTACCAATATTAGACTATATGCACAAAAAGCCACGCATATTTTTTTAGTAGTTTCCGAAATATGTGCCCTTATGTTCATAAACACATCATTTTTCGGAATGTACCACCGGTTTATCGTTATTTATTTATGTCGTTTCCCTTTACGAATAACTTCCACTTTTATTGCTATATTTTGTTCTGAATTCTGAATAGTTTATTTTCATAAAATATATATAGTATATTTTTCCATTTTTTTTTTTTTTACAACGAGTGTTAATTTTTAATTTTAAGTTGTTAAACGTAGTTGAAATTCGTAAATAAATACTTATATATGAAAAAAATTAATTATTTTTCATGAAAGAAAATTTATAAATGAGATAGTTGACTATGAGAGTTCATGACTCTCAGCCCCATAATATCTCCTTTTTAAAATAAAATAAATATACTTCCAGTTGTCAGAATGATTTGCTTCTAAAACCAAAATGTCCAGGAAGGGTTGCAATATTTTTGAACCTCAACAACGAAAGTTTTAACTGCTCAAAATCATGGGATTCTGTTAATTTCAAAACTTATTCTTCATATTTTTGTAGATGTTTTTTAGGGCTATACAGAAAATAGGCTAGGTATGAATGTTTGTATTTCCAAAGATTTACATTCCAACAGTTTTTATGTCCTTTATATTATCGATAAATCAATAATGATCACAGCTGATACAGCTTGATTACTGATATAATTATTTCATGGAAAAACAAGACTTCTTGCTTATCGCATTAAAGTCACCGACTTCTGTCCTGAAGCATTGAACTCACTCGATTAAAACGATTTAATATTAACTTTCAGTGTTGTAAGTGGTTTATTTAGAAAAAAATGTGAAGTTTTGTCATAAAAGGTTTTGTTATGCTTAATTTTGGCCGTCCAAATTGTAAAAAACTGAGAAGAAATTCTAGAGCTGTTTGTTTCTGTAAGCTTTGAGTCTGTTTGTTAAAATAAAGTGAAAAATTATCATATTGTACTTACTTTTGTTTGATTTCGTTATGGTGATAACCTCTTGCAGGTGGACACTGTTACACTCACCACGGACTACTGTTGTTGGTGGGGGGTCTTGAGTCTTTATATGTAACCCCGCTGCTTGTTCTCCCACCTTTCGACACTCATGAGTAGGGCGAAGGGGCACTGCTCTCGCCCCTCTCCGGCAGAAGAGTCTCGCGTTTAATTAAGGGCAGTGTCAAGGCTTTTTCCGATATTTCTGGACGTTGTTACAAACCGGGGATGACCGTGAATCCAAGGTTCAAGGGTAAGGCGTGACCAGACGGAACTGTGTCTTACTGGGTCCGCGTCGTTTTGCTGTAACACAGACATAACAGTTTCAGTATATATTCGTTAAAGACGATAAGATTTATTGTAATGGAAACCCTTTGTAAAAATACGGCCGTCTGTCGAGGCTAAATGAAATTATACTGAGAAAGAGATTTAAAATCTGTTTTCTGCCTTCGTATATTCTCGATGGTTCATGTTGTAAATTTTTGCTAAATAAACCAATAAGAATAGAGTTTCAACATGACATACGTACATTACTTTTTATCATTTTTTAACCAGAACAAGCTATTTCTGGAAGTAGTCTGGACCAGATTTCTGGAATTAGGTTTTATGATTTGACCATTCTCACCTGTATCTTCTGTAGTCAAACAGGTGGATTTGCCTAAAGATGGGAATTATTTATGCTCCCACAATTATTTTCGGACCGGTCGATTTTCTTTATCTACGTTATTTTTTCCAACTTCTTAGGTTGACCGATGACTTTCACACTCGGCAAATCTTATCAATAGAGGAAAAACTTTTTATAGCCGCTTTTCCCACGCGGAAAGGGAAAGGGGTTTTCTATTACGCAGGGCCAGGCCGGACGCAGGGTGAAGAGCCTCGATCGACACGCCGCCAGGGATTTCGAGTGGAAAAAACGCCTTTTCAATCCGCACAAGGGATTTTCCCATAGTTTTGAAAACAGAACCTTTTCAGCGGCACGTCTATTCGATCCTTCTCCGACTTTGCCGAGAGCCCGTTGAATAAAATCCGGGCACACACGTAAAAACCAAAATCAAGCGAATCATCTGATGTTAAAGGTGAAACGGAGAACATAACTTGTTAAACTGTTCAAGAAAAACCTTTAAACAATTAATTTTTAACTGTTTCAACTACAAAATGGAGAAAATTGTGAGACATTTGACACAGTTACAATGAACGTATAAAACGAATTGCAGCGGGTAAAATTAATGCAAGAAATTCCAAAAAATTACCCAAGGAAACAAAAGAGCACACATTCACATAAAAAATGTTACATGAAACAAATGATGCGTTTTGAAAAAGTAAAGGTTTTGAATCTGAACTTTAGACAATTTACACTCTTTCTTTTTATTAAAAAACTTAAAATTTTTACTTTGTCACAAGAAGAGTTAGGAAGTACCGTAGGAGTTAATTAGACGCCCCCGTAAGATTTGTCAACAGATAACTTGGTTGTTAAACAGACGTACATCTCCTCTGGTTAGCCGTGATTCCGTTTTTTAGTACAATTACGACAATACGTCGACTGCGAAGAAGACATCAGAGAAAATAGCGGGTTTTCCGCACTCAAAATGACATAATTAACCGTTCGATAACTGGCGCGTTGTAAAAAAGCCACGGCTCGACAAACATTTGGGTCGAGCCGTGCTTTTATTTTATGTTGGAACGGTAAATTTTGCGCAATATTTATAATTACAGATCAGACATCTGTTTCGCGCACAATTATCGATACATTAATTATATTGTTTGTAAATTTGATTTGCGACATGCAGGACGTGCCCGTCAATGTCCCGTTCAATGATGGTTGACGTGAAATCCAATCTTCATCCTTGGTGACACTACGGGCCCAATAGATGTTCGTCAATTGGGACATGTAAGGATATACGTGTCACGTTTGTACAAGAGGGAATCATGTTCACGCGATGACATATTGCCACTTTTTTCACACTTGCCCATTTTTAAGACATACCACAAAACCATGAACCAAAGTCGAATATTTTTCACTGTCATAGGATTGGTTCTTCATTGTCGTACTATTTTCGTATAAAAATCGTCTGCATCTTAAAGTTACAAAATCATAATGTTGAATGTACCAACTTGAGAAATGACAAACAACTGACCTAAATCATAACAGAGATTTTGTGGAAAAAATATATGCTGTAAAAAATGTAAACAAATACATGCGTATATGTTTTTTTTCTCCCGGCCACATCACTGACACTATGGTTAGAATATAGAAACAGACTTGCGACAATGGAATATTTTTAGTCCAATTTGACATTTAAGTATTGACGTCTGTTTACGTGACACCCTACAATTTATTTAAATAATTTATTTATAGCTTGTACTGTTGATACATATTATAAATACGCGTTTTCCTCCGGTCAAAACTAATCTATGGCCATTACCATGAGAGTCCAGCTTACAGTGGCACACAACATGAGGCATTCAGTGAAGAAGTCCCGAGGCTATCGTTGATTAAGGCGACATGGCCGGTTTTCGGGATGGGAAAGTGTAGAAAGGGCTTAGGCTGAAGGGTTAAGGTTTGTTGAAAATTTTTCCTTTTTTCCGCCATCTGTTTGTATGTTGAGTTCTTATTGCAACCCCCCTGTAATTACCTAAGCAAAGCGTCTAACTACGACTACGATCAGGTTATCTGCGTATCCCTGGCAACTAAAGCTCTCGTCAGATGGAATTTCCAAGTGATCCAGGAACACACATATCGTGTCAGTAATTGTCCTTTTTATACGGTCACCTTCTTCCTCCCATTGATAGTATAGGAGTGGCAAAATTGCCTATTGGCCCTAGGGTGGCAGAAGTTTATCTTGATTTCGGTTCCGTGAAAGAAGGTTATAAGAAGAAACAAGCTGATTAACCCAACAAAGAAAGGGCAGAATCTCACTCATGGGGCGTGTATCACAACTACTTACGCAAAAACCGGGATAAAGATGGAGCTGAAAATATGACTTGAGAGAGAATACCTCAAGCACTGAACGAAAGCACCAGATTTGATACGAGGTAAAAGATTCGTAAATAATTCAAGAAGAAAGATATATCTGCGATAATACTCACTCTTTCTCCCTCTCCCTCCCACCCTCTCACTCTCTCCCTCCATCTCTCTCTCACTCTCTCTCTCTCTCTCTCTCTCTTTCTATATTTACATACTTATATATCTATCTCTATATCAATATTTCTCCCTCTCTCCCTTTCTTTCTCTATGTACCTTTATCTCAATCTTTGTATCTCTCCCCTTCTCTTTCATATCTATCTTTATCTCAATCTTTGTCACTCTTTCCCTCCCTTTCTCTATCTATATGTATCTCAAACTTTGTCTCTCTATCTCTATCTCCAACAATCTATCTCCATACCAATCTTTGTCTCTCTCTCTTTCACGTTTTCTATCTACCATTACCTCAATCTTTGTTTCTCTCTTTTTCTCTTACTCTATATAATTTTATCTCATTCTTTGTCTCTCTATCTCTACCTCCAATAATCTATCTATTTTTACCTCAATCTTTGATTCTCTCTCTCCTTCTCTTTCGCTATCTATCTTTACCTCAATCTTTGTCATTTTCTACCTCTCTTGTTCTATATATCTTTATCTCAATCTTTGTCACTCTTTCCCTCTCTTTGTCTAACTATATTTATCTCAAATTTTGTCTCTCTATCTCTATCTCCAACAATCAATCTATCTATATATCTTTATCTCAATCTTTGTCACTCTCTCCCTCTCTTTCTCTATCTGTATCTCAATTTTGTCTCTCTATCTCCAATAATCTATCTATCTTTACTTCAATCTTTGATTCTCCCTCCCCTTCTTTTCGCTATGTATCTTTATCTCAAACTTTGTCTCTCTATCTCTATCTCGAATAATCTATCTATGTTTACCTCAATCTGCTTCTCTCTCGTTCTCTTTCTCTATCTATTTTTATCTCATTCTTTGGGTCTCCCTCCTCTCTTTTTCTATCTGTCTCCCTCTCTCTCTCTCTCTCTCTCTCTCTCTCTCTCTCTCTCTCACACACACACACACACACACACACACACACACACACACACACATACATACACAGACAGACACACACGCACTCTATCTCTATATATATGAACGATTAAATCAATTCAATTATATAAAAAGTATGTTGTTTAAGTTTGATCCCATTTTGTATGGGAATTTTTAATGAATTATTCAACGAATTATGGATATTTTTGTTTTCCGTTATAATTTTTATTAGTAAGCATTGTTCTTTTGTTAAAATATTCATTCTCGATCCCTAATTTTTATCCATTCGGCATCAAAGCGGTATTCCGCCCACTCAGCAAGCTCAAAGCACTCGTGCCCACTTCGACCAAGTCCGTAGCCGAATGTCATCAGTCATTGTCGAACACCGTCTGCCCACGAAAGGGTACTCGGAACCGGGCTGCGTGACAAATAAGCCCGCTGTTAATTTCAAAAGGAACCATGAACTCCTCGTCTTTCTTGTAACTTTATCTCTTCCCTTACATCATTTTGAACAATCAGAGGTGAATAGAAGTTGGACTCGAAGTCCAAGACAATGACTGTCTGATTCTTTGTCAAGCTAGCGAATTTGGTTAAATATGTTAAGTAAAGTTAATAAAGTGTTATTGCACAAAATTGAGTGGAACTAACCGCATGAACAGTAAAATAATCTGTGATGTCCGTACAATCAATCAAAAACACTAAAGGACATCTTCCGAAGCATGTACAATATATACAATATATGGTCGACAATTGACCTTGACGAAATATACAAAATCGAGGGCTTTATTTATTTTAAGTGGAGAAGTAATTAATTATTTACAGTCCTAACACAACACTCTTCACCGGGTTAGGAAGATCTACCGACTTGTTGCGGTTTCGAGAACAAATTGGATTAGAAAGATCTGAGTACATAGTACTGCCAAGCAAAACAGATATCTGTGGAAATGGGACGAAGATTTTCAGTGAAGCGGCCGGATTCTTTGGAAGTTTGAAGCTAGGTCAAGTAGTCTTTTATCGATTTAATGTCTCAAATAGCGGACG